CATCTGCGCGTCTTGGCCCGAGCCACCGATACTTTTGACAATGGCAATTTTTCGACAACCACGCGTACGCACACACCCAGGCCAATGATCAAAGGAAGTTTAGGGGGAGAAACTTCCGTGTTACGGACTTTTAGAATGTCAGGGAAAGAGTTAGTCAAAGAAAGAGTTAGTCAGGGAAAGGTTAGTTAGGGAAAGAGTTCATCAGGGAAAGAGTTAGTCAAAGAAAGAGTTAGTGAGAGAAAGAGTTAGTGAGAGAAAGAGTTAGTTAGAGAAAGAGTTCATCAGGGAAAGAGTTAGTCAAAGAAAGAGTTAGTGAGAGAAAGAGTTCATCAGGGAAAGAGTTAGTCAAAGAAAGAGTTAGTGAGAGAAAGAGTTAGTGAGAGAAAGAGTTATTTAGAGAAAGAGTTCATCAGGGAAAGAGTTAGTCAAAGAAAGAGTTAGTGAGAGAAAGAGTTCATCAGGGAAAGAGTTCAAAGAAAGAGTTAGTGAGAGAAAGAGTTAGTGAGAGAAAGAGTTAGTTAGAGAAAGAGTTCATCAGGGAAAGAGTTAGTCAAAGAAAGAGTTAGTGAGGGAAAGAGTTCATCAGGGATTGTAACTTTTAGACTGTCAGGGAAAGAGCTAGTCAAATGAAGAGTTAGTGAGGGAAAGAGTTAGTTAGGGACAGAGTTAATTGTAACTTTTAGAATGTCAGGGAAAGAGTTAGTCAAAGAAAGAGTTAGAATGGCATTGCAAGCGGTGCTGGTGGAGGAGTTGCCGATGGAGTTTTGGAGGAAGTCTCGCACGAAATGCGTTTTTGAGAGATAGCAGATGCACGAAACCCTATGTTTTTCCATACAAAGTGCGTCCCCGAACCTCGGCGAGAGGTGATTCTCAGAGTGACTCCCTTGCGGGGCGCCCCATGGAATCTGTGTCGCGAGACGGTCTGCCCGTGCTGTGTGGTCGTTCGGTCATCCATGGCTGCGGGATACGGTGCACCCCATCATCTCGGACAGGACACATGTGAACACATGTGCAATTGCGACCAGGTGCCTTCAGCGCGACTACGTGTGTGTTTCACCCTGTTTTTTCGCCTCACCTTCGAATGCTGCGACTGGCTTACGAAAAAATTCAACCAGGACTGCACCGTATACCGAACTTGTCATTGTGATTTGCAACTGTAGGATCGTTCCCGCAATGTAAATCGGATTGCAAGTGGTGCTGGTGGATGAGTTGCCGATGGAATTCCATTGTGCTTTGCAACTGTAGGATCGTTCCCGCAATGCAAATGGCATTGCAAGTGGTGCTGGTGGAGGAGTTGTCGATGGAGTTTTGAAGGAAGTCTCGCACGAAATGCGTTTTTGAGAGATAGCAGATGCACGAACCCCTATGTTTTTCCATACAAAGTGCGTCCCCGAACCTCGATGATCTACCTCTGCGGTGCGACGGGTGCGAGACGGTCTTCGGATCATGGTCGGATCATGGTCGGATCGGTTCCGCATTGTAAATGGGTTTTCAACTGTTTTTCGTGCATGTGCGGTCGACAGAATTCCAGTGTGATTTGCAACTGTAGGATCGTTCCCGCAATGTAAATGGGATTGCACATGGTGCTGGTGGATCCGTTGCCGATGGAATTCCATTGTTATTTGCAACTGTAGGATCGTTCCCGCAATGCAAATGGCATTGCAAGTGGTGCTGGTGGAGGAGTTGCCGATGGAGTTTTGAAGGAAGTCTCGCACGAAATGCGTTTTTGAGAGATAGCAGATGCACGAAAGCCTGTGTTTTTCCATACAAAGTCCGTCCCCGAACCTCGATGATCTACCTCTGCGGTGCGACGGTTGCGAGACGGTCTCGTGTGTGGTCGGATCATGGGCGGATCATGCTCGGATCGGTTCCGCATTGTAAATGGGTTTCACCTGTTTTTCGTGCATGTGCGGTCGACAGAATTCCATTGTGATTTGCAACTGTAGGATCGTTCCCGCAATGTAAATGGGATTGCAAGTGGTGCTGGTGGATGACTTGCTGATGGAATTCCATTGTGATTTGCAACTGTAGGATCGTTCCCGCATTGTAAATGGGATTGCAAGTGGTGCTGGTGGATGAGTTGCCGATGGAATTCCATTGTGCTTTGCAACTGTAGGATCGTTCCCGCAGTGTAAATGGCTGTGTCAAGGTTGCTTCGTGCTGTGGCTGCATTGGTAATACTATTGTCTTTTGCAGCTGGACTTTGTAAATCGTATTGGAGTGGCTGCATGAAGGCTGCGACAGTGATTTGTCAGCAGATTTTCTCCATTTTGGCGCTAGTGATTTTCCTTCTAAAAATCCTTTTAAAAAGTGCTTCAAAATCGTCTTTTTTCCGCTCTGGCGTCGAGATCCGGTTTTGGAGCTACAATTTCCGACGCCGTTGCGCGTAGTTCTATTGTGTTTTGCAACTCAGTCTCTGCAGATCGCATTGTAATGGCTGCATCAAGGTTGCTTCGTGCTGTGGCTGCATTCGTAATACTATTGTCTTTTGCAGCTCGACTTCGTAAATCGTATTGGAGTGGCTGCATGAAGGCTGCCACAGTGATTTGTCAGCAGATTTTCTCCATTTTGTCGCATTAGTGTTTTTTTTGTTCCACGTAGGTTTAGAGCAGTGTGAAGTGTGGGGCGTAAAGAGTGCAGTGTGAAGTGTGAAGTGTGAAGGAAGCAGTGGGAAGTGAGAAGTGTGAAGTGTGAAGTGTGGAGTGTGAAGTTTAAGTTTGGAGTGCGAAGAGTGCAGTGTGAAGTGTGAAGTGTGAAGTGTGAGGTTTGGAGTGTGAAGGAAGCAGTGAGAAGGTAGAAGTGTGGAGTGTGAAGTGTGAAGTGTGGAGTGTGAAGTTTGAAGTTTGGAGTGCGAAGAGTGCAGTGTGCAGTGTGAGGTGTGGAGTGTCGAGGGAAGGACACGGTCGGGACAGGTTGTCTTTGAACTATAGGTCATTTATGTTTGGGAAACTTCCGCCGCCGGCTTGCCCGGGTCTATGTTAACAGAAACCGATGTCCAGAGACCAATGCAAGGGTGATTCGAAAAAACATCAGATGATATTCGGTCAAGCTATTCATTTTCAGAATTTGAACTTTCAAAATTTGAAGGACGTCTCGCACGAAAGCTTCGTTTTCACATTTTCCAGTGTCACTTTTTTAGGGACGTCTCGCACGAAAGCTTCGTTTTCAGATCTTCCACTGTCACTTTTTGAGGGAGGTCTCGCACCAAAGCTTCGTTTTCACATCTTCCACTTCCACTTTTTGAGGGACGTCTCGCACGAAAGCTTTGTTTTCACATCTTCAGCTTTCAGCTTTTGAGGGAAGTCTTGCAGGACAGCTTCGTTTTCACATCTTCAGCTTTCAGACTTTGAGGGAGGTCTCGCACGAAAGCTTTGTTTTCACATCTTCAGCTTTCAGCTTTTGAGGGAAGTCTTGCAGGACAGCTTCGTTTTCACATCTTCAGCTTTCAGACTTTGAGGGAGGTCTCGCACGAAAGCTTCGTTTTCACATCTTCAGCTTTCAGTTTTTGAGGGAAGTGTTGCACGAAATACGTTTTTGAGAGATAGCAGATGCACGAAATGCTCTGTTTTGCAGTGCAAAACGTGTCTCGGAAGATGGATGGGGAAGCTTGTCCGGCGGACGGTTTCGAGACGGTCCCGGTTATGCTCGGATCATGGTCGGGTCGGCCACGCATTGGAACTGCGAGTTCAGGCGTCGTTTTGCCGACCTTCTTGCGCGTAGTTCTATTGTGTGTTGCAACTCAGTCTTTGCGAATCGCATTGGAATGGCTGCGTCAAGGTTGCTTGGCGCCGGGGCTGCGTGCATAATACTAAATCGTAGCTGGACATCGCAAATCGTATTGGTGTGGCTGCCCAAGGCTGCGATAGTGATTTGTCAGCAGATTTTCTAAGTTTAAAGTTTGCTTATGTAAAATCTTCTCTGTGTAAAAGCTTCTCAGTGAAAATGCTTCTCTGTGAAAAAGCTTCTCTGTGTAAAAGCTGGCCGTGTGCAAAAAAGCTTCTGTGTGTAAAAAATTGCTGTGTGTTAAAGCTTCTTTGTGTAAATGCTTCTCAGTGTAAGGGCTTCTCTGTGTAAAAGCTTGCTCTGTGTGAAAGCTTTCTGTCTGAAAGCTGGCTGTGTGTGAAAGCTTCTGTGTGTAAAGGCTTCTGTGTGTAAAAGCTCCTCTGTGTAAATGCTTCTCTGTGTTTGGGCTTCTCTGTGTGAAAGCTTTCTGTGTGCAAAAGCTTTTCTGTGTAAAAGCTGGCTGTGTGTGAAAGTTTGCTGTGTGTAAAAGCTTCTGTGTGTAAAAGCTTCTCTGTGTCAAAGCTTCTCTGTGTAAGGGCTTCTCTGTGAAAGAGCTTCTCTGTGTAAAAGCTTTCTGTGTGTAAAGGCTTTTCTGTGTAGGAGCTTCTTTGTGTCAAAGCTTGCTGTGTGTAGAAGCTTCTCTGTGTTAAAGGCTCCTCTGTGTAAAAGCTTCCGCGTGTAATATTTTCTGGGTAAAAGCTTGCTGTGTACAAAAGCTCGCTTTGTGTAAAAGCTTGCTGTGAATAAAAGCCTCCCTAACTCTGTGTAAAATTCTGCGTGTGCAAGCTTCTCTGTGCAAAAGCTTGCTGTGTGTAAAAGCTTCTCTGTGTCAATTCTTCCCTGTGGAAAGCGTAGGGGTTGCTTGCGTTGGCGCCGGGATCGGTTTTTGGAGCAGGTTTTGGGCCAGAGAAAAAGTGAGATGATTTGAGAGTGCGCTGAGAAGAGCTGAGATGAGGTGAGACGAGCTGACAAGAGCTGAGATCAGCTGAATAGATGTGAGGAGAGCTCAGAAGATGTGAGAAGAGGAGAGAAGAGATGAGAACGCAAAAGATGAGCTTACATGAGCTGCGGAAAGCTGAGAAGAATTGAGAAAAGCTGTGAAAATCTGAAAACCTGAGAGAAGCTGAGATGAGATGAGAAGAGATGAGAAAAGCTCAGGTGACATGTGAAGAGATGAGAATAGTTGTGATCAGCTGAGAAGAGCAGAGAAATGGGAG